GATTACAGTAACGCGTGAACAAGGTGGCGTAGAATTTTGAAATTGATACCATGGGTGTGTCTACTGCAAATCTCAGACATCCTGAGTTACGGCTACAATATGTTTATCTTACAGTGACCTGATGCAATTAAAATTGCAATTATGTATCCATGTAACTATTTTCACAAGTATTCAGTTTCATTCCGTTTTTTCATATAGTGCTAAAGCACAAGAGTCATTTCAAGGGTCTTTATAGAGTCATCGTCATCGTGATGAAAGTGCGTTTTGTAAAAACTGAAATATCATTGAGGTGTGAGTCATACTTGTATTTTCCAGGCTGCTCCAGGAGGCGTCATAGTTTCCAGCACAAAGAATGAGAAATCAGCTATAAATGATAATCATTTATACACAGAACAATGAAGAGAAAGCCATGTGATGCTACAGTGGTTCATCAACAGAAACGTGTCATTCAGTGACAAATGGCATGCCAGTACATCTCAATGCAGTCAAACGAATACAAACGCAGTACAATCAAACGTCAAGTGTAAGCCGTTAGCATGTGACGGACAAACATTCCTCTGTAGAAACATATTTGCAGATAAAAGAAACAAAAACACTCTTATCACCAGCCTGGATCCGGTCAGCGTAGCTGCTCTACTGGACGGAGCCGCTCATGATCGGACCTGTTCACTAGTTTCAGGGACTCAGAGGAGGAAACAACACCTCTGAACGACTAAATGAAAAGAAGGATTTCTCTGAGCGTGGAAAACGTCCTGCTGCCACAATATGACCAGTTGCTTGTTTGATGATCTGCTTCATGTCACATTCATCTACGACAGAGATGGTGTTTAAATGTGTTTAACTTTGGAGTCGAATGAAAGAATGAAACCAACTCTGCAGCCTAGTTCAGTCACAGCAAGTCTCCACGAGGCTTCTGTTCACCTGAACTTGTTCTGCTGTCCGTCCACTCTATCCTACATTACAGGGGGGGCTCATTGATATAATAACACTGTGCAAAATTGAATATTATCCCAGATAAGAGTTCTTTCCTGATCCATAAGCCCAGTGCAGTGTTATGAAGGCTGCTGCTTTTTCCTACTTTTGCTCTTTGACCTCAGATTCAATGTGTCGCAGATCTGCCACCAGCTTTGTGTCACATATTACCTTCAGCATATGAAGGTAATGAAGGGGCTGCTGTTAGAGTCACAGTTGAGTCTAGATTGTGGAGTTTGTGGCTCTCAGCAGCTGACAGTGAATACATCTGCCAGCTCTGGGAGCTGTTGGAAGCTATTTGGTTCACTTTAGGGAAGTTAGAGTATTTGTTTGCTACAGTGCTGTGCTGTACTCATCCCTCACCAGCCTTGGTAGTGGAATCACTAACTTAATGCTGCCTCACTGTGGATTTGAAGGTTCATGTAACGTTTAATAAAGTTATTTGTTATGTTTTTGCAGTCTGGCCCTGGACAAACGGCAGCTTAAGACAAGCTGAGTGAGTTTCCTGAACTCACGTACAAGTATCAAGAAGTCTTTGAAAGACACATTCAGATGCAGAAATCAACAGAAGCTCTGAGCTCAGATGATGCAAACGACGTCATGGCTACATCTCCTTTACAGACGAGCAAGCCAGCTATGCATGCACGTGGGTGTGTCGCGCACACACACACACACACCATAGTTTTTAGTCTGAGAAGCAAAATTAAACTACCAACATACAGAATAAATTATTGTGTAAAAATAAGGCAAATTATAACGTATCACACTTAATATACAAAAACACTCTAGAATTGTTTACTTTCGCTATATGCACGAAGGCTTATTGGGACTAATTCATAATTATTATAATTCATGCCAAAGTTCTTAAAGTACCAGAAGTGAAGCACAAACACAGGAAATAAAAACACAAAGAAAATTAAGAATAAATAATATAAACATTTGAAAAAATATAATATCAATAAATAAATACATTACATACTGAAATCAAAGTCAGAGCGATAGATATAAAAATATAAGACAAAAGCAAACGAACACTGACTGATCCAAGGCCTGAAACGTTATGGCACCGTACACTGAAGCTGTCCTTCCATCATATGAATCACTGTCGCTGCCAGGCACTTCTGCGCCCTGTGCTTTAATACCCAAGCTAAAATACCAATGGTTTCCACCGTCTCTAAAGTCCTC